ATGGCGTCAGTGATTTGCTGTTGTGTGTGTCTTTTTTTATGGGTGGCCAGGCTAATGAGAGTGCCCCTGATGACCGCTTTATGGGCGGCCCATATCGTGGCGGGCGCAGTGTCCGCCTGTGTGTTTAGGTCAAAGTACTCTTTCAGCTCATTAGCTATTTTGTCGGTGATTGATTTGTCATGCAGGAGAAGAGGGTTCAGTCTCCATGACCATTGTCGATAAATCGACGGTAGAGCGAGGGTGATAGCTATTTCCGCATGATCGGACCATGATATAGAGCCGATTTCGGATTTAGTGATTTGTGGTACTAAGTTAGGGGTCACCAGGAAGTGGTCTATGCGTGAATACGTGCCATGCGGGTGGGAGTAGAACGTGTAATCTCTGGTTGACGGGTGTTGTGCCCTCCATATGTCTATCAGTTTTTGTGAGGCGAGAAATTGGTGGAATAGGGAATCATTCTGCGACGGGCGAGAACGTGCCGTGGCAGTAGAGGTCCTGTCGGCGGCTGGGGTGTGGACTGCGTTGCAATCCCCCCCGACCACGAGTCGCGCAGTCGAGTAAGTGTTGAGGTGTGTAGTCAGTTGTTGCCAGAATGAGGCGTCTGGTGTCGTAGGTGCGTAGATCGAGGAGAAGGCGTAGGTTGTAGTGCCCACTTTCCCCTGTATGGTTACGTAGCGTCCCTGCGGGTCCCTGTTGCATACCACGTCTGAGAGGGGGCAGTTGGCTCTCAGAATAATGGCTACTCCCTTCGTTTTGGAGTCTGGGCAAGGGGCCATATAGCTCTTCGGGTAATGTCTGTTGGTGAGGGGGAAAGCGCGTTGGGCCGTGAAGTGGGTTTCTTGTATAAGTAGGATGTCTATGTTTTGTTTGTGAGCCCATCTTAGTATGCCATGTCTCTTGGCGGGGGAGTTCAGCCCTTTTGCGTTAATAGATACGCACCGTACGTTTACAGGCATGGTGTCTTTGGTCTATCGCTAGGACTCTGGGGTGGGGAGTGTGAGAAGGTTGGGGGCCGCGCTCCCGGGCGGTCCAAGGCCACGGGGATGGGGAGAGGGTAAGTGGGTGTTGGGGTTCTTGTCTATGGGAAAGGCGGGGTTCGTGAGGGTTTTGGGGGTGAGGGTTGAATGTTAGGAGGGGTGATCCGCTGGGCTTATATTGTTGCCAGCAGTATGCGGGGTGAGCGTCTATCCGCTCAGTGGGTGTTCGTACCCTAGTGGTGTCGTGTCGTCAGGGGTTGGCAATCTCTCTAGCAGAGTTGCCGGCAGGCAATGTGAGTATTGAATCGTATACGTTGGTAGGTGGTGGTCGGTCCAAGTAGTGATTGTGACAGTCATGTCTATCGTTCCTCACCTCGTATGAAGGTGTAGGCGTGTAGGGTCAGTGCGTCCGTGCCGCCAGGGTCTGGGGATGTGTTTGTAGCGTATGCTTAACGTTCGCTAGCTCCCTTGTCTGTGTCGCGTCCGGTGTGTCAGTGGGTGCCTTTCATGGTGTGGTCGTGGCCGGGTCCAAAGGAGAGATGATGTTACAACAAAAGAAAATGAGACATTTAGAAAAAATATACATAACATGCAGAACAGTGACAGACATTGCTGCAACAATATGAGTGTACCATAATATGAATTGTCTTTGTGCTCTGGAAGTTAGAGTGCCTCCAGTGATCTGTTGAGGCAGGGGGAAAGGTGCCCGGGGGCGTCCAGTACAGGGTGCCCCGTGTTCGTGCGTTGAGTGGCTTAGTTACGTGGTCCCCCCCCAGGGGTCACCCCCCTACATTATTTTGGCTCGATGTTTGTCTGGAGATAGGCTTGCCCGTCAGTCCAGGATCAGTGGTCTGCGTTGAATGTATGGGCTCGAGTGCAGTAGCATATCTGTGTCTGCATGTGTTTTTTTTTTTGTTGTTTATCCCATTTTTAGTGTGTTTTTTTTTTTTCTATTTTCTTTTCACCCTCCCTTTGGTAGTTCCCTTTGTGTAATTGGCGGGGTGGGGGAGGGGGTCCCCTATAGTGTGAGACTTCTTGCGCATCTTTCCCGATGGGGTGCTTTCCATATGGCTGGGGCCTAGGGACTTTAGTGTGGTGGGAGGGTGTGGGGTTCACTGGCTCCCCAGGGAAGGGCCCGATTCCGTCTGTGTGCTATGTTGTCTGGGGGGCTCTGCTTGTATGGGTTCCCGGGGTGTCTGCCTACAGGCAGATGTCAGTTGCCGGGGTCAACTGGGCGTGTTTCCCACTATCTGTCTAGTGTCCCCCCCCCCGCTTTGATGTCCAGAAACGGGGTTGGCAGCCTGTGTCCCCTGTGGGGGCAGTAGTTTGTGTTTGGCTCCTTTGGGGAGTGTAAGATTAGCGGGGTCCCATGGTTTCTGTGGCCAGCTGAAGTGGGTTCATCTGGGGGTCTAGTGGTAGGATCACTAGCGGCTGGGCCCGGGGGTCCCGGTGGTGCGTGTGTGGTGTTTTTTTTTGGTTTTTTTTTTGTTGTTTTTGTTTTTTTCCCCGTGTTTTCTTTGTGTTTTCCCTCCCTCCTCCTCCCCCCCCCTGTTTTATCCCCCCTCCCCCCACGTGATTTCCCATGCCATATTTGGCTGTAAATGTAGGGCTAAAGCTTAGAGTTAAAACATGCAACGTAAGGTTGCCACATAATTAGTCCTGTTTAGGGTAGAGTCATAGCTTATCTGGTTCCGGGCGACCTGTGGTCAGATAGTTCGTGTTCTCCTGGCGTGCGATGCCGTGGGTCCGGTAGTCTGTGAGGTGTGTTTGCGGTTGTCCTGGCGGCGTGGAATCGGTGAGGGTCGTGTGGAGGGTGACGGTCCATGTCGTAGTGGTGCGGTCATCTGTACGTCTTTAGGTGGCCGGTTGAGGGTGAGGGCTGCTGGGAGGTGGAGCCCTTGTCGGGTGTAGTGTCGGGCCCCTTGGAGAAAGTCTTCCTGCTGGGCGTCTATCAGGATGTTCGGCAGTGAGGTCGATGGCCGGAAGGCCCAGGCGTTCCGCGAATGCTGTGGCTTCGGAGATATGGTACAGAGTGTGTACCCGGTTGTTTTGTCTCACTTGTAGCTTGAAGGGGTGGCCCCATGTGTATCTTATGTGTCTCCTGGCCAGCTCCAAGGTTAGGGGTCTGAGTTCCCTTCTCTTGCGTAGCGTGCTTGGAGCTAAGTCTTGATAAAAGCAGACTTGATGCCCCTCTATTTGGAGTGGGTTATCTCTCGCCGCTCTCATCAGCGCTTCTTTTATATGGAAATAGTGCATGCGGATGATGATGTCCCTGGGCTGGGTTGCGTTCGGGAGGGGTGCTTTAAGGGCCCTGTGGGCTCTGTCTAGTAGGAGCTCGGCCGGTGAGGCCTCTGGGAGTAGGCTGCAGAAAAGCTCTCTCAAAGTGGGGGCCAGCATGTCTATTCCAACCGTCTCTGGCACCCCGCGAATTCGTATATTGTTGCGGCGGGAACGGTTGTTGAGGTCCTCTTGGGCCTCCTCCAGCAGGCGTACCTGGTCTTGTAGTGCTGAGATGGCGGTTTCGTTTGTCTGTGCCTGCATGGAGGTGCGGTCCAGCTGGTCTTCAATGGCAGTAGTTCTGCGTGTGAGGTCATTTAGGCTTTCAGTGATGGGAGTCAGGTGTCTGGAAAACTCTGCAGCCATGTTGGTTTTGATCTCCTGCAGCAGGTGCCTGAGGTCAGCTTTTGTAAGTGGTGCTGCGGCTGCCGTGCGGCTGGTGTCACTTGCCGCCGAATCTGAGTCCTCCTCACGGCCATCTTCCCCACGTGAGCTCTCCTCCCTGCGGGCGCGAAAGATTGGCGCTACCTCCGCGCCATGCTTAGTCTTGCGCCCCCCTCCCATGTCGGGTCGGTGGAGTGCCGTGGCCGGGATGCTGGGGACCGGGTGTGCTGCCCGTTCGTCGGGTATACGTGCCGGTAAATGCTAATGTTGTGCCTGCCGGTACGGAGCTCTAGCAGAGAGCAGCCATCCGCACCGGAAGTCAGGCGCCGCCCCCCCCTGATATTATTTTTAAACCTTTGTCCCTCTAATTTAAGACTATGTCCTCTTGTTGTGGTAGTTTTTCTTCTTTTAAATATAGTCTCCTCCTTTACTGTGTTGATTCCCTTTATATATTTAAATGTTTCTATCATATCCCCCCTGTCTCGTCTTTTCTCCAAGCTATACATGTTAAGATCCTTTAACCTTTCCTGGTAAGGTTTATCCCGCAATAAATGAACCAGTTTAGTAGCCCTTCTCTGAACCCTCTCTAAGGTATCAATATCCTTCTGAAGATACGGTCTCCAGTACTGTGTGCAATACTCCAAGTGAGGTCTCACCAGTGTTCTGTACAATGGCATGAGCACTTCCCTCTTTCTACTGCTAATACCTCTCCCTACACAACCAAGCATTCTGCTAGCATTTCCTGCTGCTCTATTACATTGTCTGCCTACCTTTAAGTCATCAGAAATAATCACCCCTAAATCCCTTTCCTCATATGTTGAGGTTAGGACTCTATCAAATATTCTGTACTCTGCCCTTGGGTTTTTACGTCCAAGATGCATTATCTTGCACTTATCCACATTAAATGTCAGTTGCCACAATTCTGACCATTTTTCTAGTTTACCTAAATCATTTGTCATTTGGCTTATCCCTCCTGGAACATCAACCCTGTTACATATCTTAGTATCATCAGCAAAAAGACATACCTTACCATCAAGACCTTCTGCAATATCACTAATAAAAATATTAAAGAGAATGGGTCCAAGTACAGATCCCTGAGGTACCCCACTGGTGACAAGTCCAAGCTTCAAATATATTCCATTAACTACAACCCTCTGTTGCCTGTCACTCAGCCACTGCCTTACCCATTCAACAATATTTGAATCCAAACTTAAAGATTGCAGTTTATTGATAAGCCTTCTATGTGCAACAGTGTCAAAAGCCTTACTGAAATCTAGGTAAGCAATGTCTACTGCACCACCCTGATCTATAATTTTAGTTACCCAATCAAAAAAATCAATAAGATTAGTTTGGCATGATCTCCCTGAAGTAAACCCATGTTGTCTCTGATCTTGAAATCCATGTGTTTTTAGATGTTCATCAATCCTATCCTTTAACATGGTTTCCATCACTTTCCCCACTACTGAAGTAAGGCTTACTGGCCTATAGTTGCCCGACTCCTCCCTATTACCTTTCTTGTAAATGGGCACAACATTCGCTAACTTCCAATCTTCTGGGACTACTCCTGTTAACAATGATTGGTTAAATAAATCTGTTAATGGTTTTGCTAGTACACCACTAAGCTCTTTTAATAGCTTTGGGTGTATTCCATCAGGTCCCATTGACTTATTTGTCTTTACTTTTGACAGTTGAAATAGAACCTCTTCCTCTAAACTCACGTGTAATAAATGACTCATTTATCCTTTTTCTCAACTGAGGTCCCTTTCCTTCATTTTCTTCTGTAAATACAGAACAAAAATATTCATTGAGGCAGTCAGCCTGACCTTTATCCTCTTCTACATACCTTCCTTCTTTTGTTTTTAATCTAACTAATCCTTGTTTTACTTTTCTTTTCTCATTTATGTATCTAAAAAATGTTTTATCCCCCTTTTTTACTGACTGTGCTATTTTCTCTTCTGTGTGTGATTTGGAAGCTCTTATAACTTGCTTAGCCTCTTTCTGCCTAATCTTATAGATCATTTTGTCTTCCTCACTCTGGTTTTTTTTATAATTCCTAAATGCTAACTTTTTGTTTTTAACTATTTTGGCCACATCTGCGGAGTACCACATGGACTGATTTTTTCATATGTTGGTCCCCCAGAGTACAGTACAGACTTTGGGGAAAATGTATTCCGTTTTAATTGGGTTAATTGGTTATCTGAGGGGAGGAGATGTACAGTATGTATATTGTTATGATTGGTTGTACAGTTAATTATATGGGAGGCTCCCTTGCATGGGCAGAATCCCATAAAAAGAGAATGCCTATCAATAAATCCTTAGTTCATCTTTGTACCCTTCTTCTGACTATGTATGCTGTTTGGGGATTTGTGTGTTTTACTGAGGGAATTATCCAGTGGCACTATTGGAACTACACTAGGATTCGTCTATCATAACTACAGAACGGAGGGCTATGTTCACTCGGCTCTGGCGGTTCGGGAGGAAACTACCGATTGAGGTTTAAATGTACTTGGTTTCCTTAGACACACCCCTGCATTGAAGCGTCAAAACTACATATAAACACACTTCTGCATTGAAACGTCAACACTACATACAAACACACCCCTGTGTTAAACACCAAAATTATATATAAACACACCCCTACATTCAAACTCTAAAACCACATACAAACACATTCACACAAACATACTCCATAATAATCATGCTTCCATTTAAACACACAAACACTGTGCTAAATTCAAGCCTCCAAGCATAGGAAATAGGTAGAGCCCCAGCTGTCAAAGCATTGTTGGAATTGCAAGACAGATAGGGTTCTACCTTTTGTCCAACCTTGCCATTGGGGGGCTGAATAAAATTCTTGCACCAGGGCTCTTTCTACTTTAGTTCTGCCACTGCATTGGGGTTGCAGGCGTGATTGCATACCAGGGAGTGGGTCCAGGGGGCTCAAGCAAATGCTTGCCCAGGGCCCAATCAACAGTAAAGACGGCCCTGCTTATAATTAATTCCAAACCTAATATGTTCATCTCTATGTTATTAGGTGCTAGGCCCAGCTAGTTCAATGACAGCTTACTATTTTGTGCCAGTTCAACATAGGCCAGACTGGTAGGTATCTCTATTGTAAGCAACTTTAGTAACAGTACCATTTGGGTAGTACAACATTACTTTTACTTTCATAGATTTGTTCGGGTTTTACAACCACAGGTATGTCAATCCAGATGTTATCATACCTCAACCTCCCACATAGAACAGGTCTCAGTTTTAGATAACTGTCTGCTGGCTTACAGGGTTCAGGCTTTACTTAGTCGTCCCATTTATCAGCCCAACTCATAGTTAGTCGCCTCGCTTGGTTGCATAGAGAGGGCCTCACCTGTCACTTCCATTTTATCTTATACTATACTATTCACCTTGAGGCCAACATCCCACCACATCGTTTGGTGGCCACAAAATCTCCTCAGGCCAACGCATAGCTAGAGCCTCTCAAGCCACTTGGCAATTAGCAGGGCTTCACCTGTCACAAAATTAGGTAATTTCTTTGCCACTTGGCATTAGTCAGCCAGCCAGTGCAGTAGGGGATCTCCTTTATAACTTAATATTAATTCAATCCCTAGTATGTCTCAACTACCTGAAGTTGTCGAGGATTTATCTATCCCCAGCACTCCAGCAAGGTCAATCACTTCATCATACGGTTGGGACAAGCTAGCCCGACTTCTCTCAGGTCTTGGACAATCCCAAGAATACAGCTAAACTAAGGCAAAGGAACATACCCTACCCTGCCATTACTAGGAAGGCATAACTATATAGACTGTTCAATACTATGACAAATAACACTGGGACAGGAGAGGGGTCCAGTGGTGACCAGTCATCCGCCATCCATTATCTTTGGTCCTGTCCTCTTTGGGACGGATTAACGAAAGGCCACTTGGAGTCTGGAAGCAGACCTGATTCACCTCCTGGATTAGTCACTCCAGAACTGATAATTCTCCACTGCATTTAAACGGGTAATTCCAATGGTTCCCAAAAAACTCCACATATTAGCAAACCAGCACATTTGGTACCTGCCAACATTAGCCAAAGATATCTTGGAAGGAAAAGATGTCAACCTGGTTTCGCTCCTAAATGCCTCCTAAGATAACCTGGAGAATGAGACCTACTCATATGGCGATGTGTCTGTCATATTGAAGGCTAGGGATCCCAGGTTGAATAGAAAATTATTCATTCCTGAGTTTGTCCTAGCTTTTGGCATATATAGGGATGTAGTTTGCCCTGTGTACCCTGTGTACCTGTGTATCCACAAGTATGGAGGTACATCTTTTTACAATTACCACAGATCATTTTCGTCAAAGGCATCTGCAGCTCTGGCACAGTTTAATTTCAAGGCAGACGGGAGCCAGCTGGATACGTAGCTGTTCTGCAGGCACTTTGCGGGCCTCAAGACACCAGCTTGTGCTATTTACTCCTCGACCTCCCATGCCTCTAACCTATGTTCTAATACCCCACAGGTTTGATTTAACTTTCCTAGCCCTGTCACCACATCTAAGCCCGATAGATTAGTCAAGGACAAACTGTGAATTAATATTGTTTTCCTGGGAAAATCCCAGATATGTAATAATTTTGACGCAGGCACTTGCAGTTTGAGTGCCTGCAGGTTGTTGCATGTTTCTCCCTCCAATATGCCATGATTGACAATGCAATAGATGCTATTCTGTCGGCAGTGGTCGGGGCATGGCTTAGTAAGACCGAAATCATAAATGCTTTTAAACATCTCCCTATCCATCATTCTCTATGTCATTTGTATGGTGTTGAGTGGCAGGGTCTGTACTACTTTTTCTTGCGTCTTACTTTTGGTTAAAAAAGCAGACCTAGGATTTTCAGCATTTTCGCTGAAACTATGTGCTGGCTGCTGCTTAACATCTGTAGATGCCCCTTGGTCATATATTATCTTGATGATTTCTTGACAATTGAAAGTAACTTACTGAAATGGAAATCAATTCAATCAATTGATTATTCTTTGTGTATCTGCCCCTGATCAAATTAAGAAGCAATGCGTGCACGCTCCCTGAAGTAATTCACACCAGACACAAGTTTCAGGTTGATGAATAACTTGAGGAATGTTTACTCAGAGGGGACGGCAGGTCCCGTTTAAAGCAAAATTACATCATAAGCATTGTCAGAGATAACATGAAATAATACTTTATTAATTGGTTAGGTGTTAAGTGGTTTTCTTAATGCTCTGCCTACTAAGGTTGATGTCACTGAGACCATGAGGGTCTCCCCCAGATCCCAGCGCCATCTTGTTGCACGAGGTAGTTAGTCGGTGTTATAGGGAGGGAGGGGTTAGAAGCTTCTAGTGGCCATTTTGTCTAAATATGTGTTAATAGCTTATACACTGATTTCGGTTAAATGAGTAAATAGGCATTTTACTAACTAGAAAATATATCAATATCTCATTTCCACAACACTTACTAACGCCCAGTAGCCTTAAAGCCACAGTTCAACTTTTTGAGTATTTGGGGGTTCACGTCTCTCCAAAAAAACAGAGAGACCTGATACATTGGTTAACTTCTTAGGCATCACACGGGACTCTGTTAATATGCAAGCCAGCCTTCCCAAGGAGAAAATAGACTGCATTCTGGCCAGCATCAATCTTTCAACTGGATCATGCAATCATAAAGAACTGTAATCTCTTCTGGGTTCCCTCAACTTTGCCATGAAAATTATTCCTTTGGACCGAGCTTTCATATCTAGACTGCTCAGCTTTTTTCCCTGCTTTCAGTCAGATACTTCCTGTATTTCACTTGATATTCATGCCACTTCCGATTTGCACATGTGGCAGGAATTTCTTTTGAAATGGAATGGGAAGAGTATGTTTATTCCATTACTGACCACTAATTCCCTTACAATTTGGACAGATGTGGCTGCCTCTTGCATCTGCAATTTTTTGGAGATCAGTGGGTTGGAGGCTATTGGCTTGACAAAGTTAAGTTCCCGGAGTTTACTACCAGTTTGGCCTTATTTGAGCTCTTTTTTGCCTAATTGTGGCAGCAACAGTGGCTTGGGGCACATTATGGTCGGGCTGTGGGGTTAGATGTTTTTCAGATAATTAATAAAGATTGTTCTGCATCTCTGAGCATAATGCGTTTCCTGAGGAAATTGATTTGGCTTGCTGCTAACTATAAATTTCTTCTTGGTGTGTGTCCATATTCCTGGCATTCAAAATGTGGCTACTGATCACCTTTCTCACTCTTAGTTTCAGGAATTCCACAGAGCATTACCAACGGCAGCCCTCTTAGCCAGTGGCGTACACATGACCCATGGGGCCCCGGTGCGAAAATTGATCCGTGGGCCCCCCCCGGCGCGCGGGCCGGGCCGCAACACATGGCGGTGGGCACCTGGTCGCAGGGGTTAAAGGGCTGCGACCCCTGCGACCGCGGTATGTACGCCAGTGCATGCAGATGCACACACACTTAAAGGACCACTTTAGGCACCCAGACCACTTCAGCTTAATGAAGTGGTCTGGGTGCCAGGTCCAGCTAGGGTAACCCATTTTTTCATAAACATAGCAGTTTCAGAGAAACTGCTATGTTTATGAATGGGTTAAGCCTTCCCCTATTTCCTCTAGCGGCTCTCATTATGAATGCTTTCCTATGTGACCGGCTGAATGTATGCAGCTCTTACGCGTCGCAACCGGAGGGAGAGAGGAGGATCGGAGGAGGAGAGCTCTCCGCCCAGCGCTGGAAAAAGGTAAGTTTTACCCCTTTTCCCCTTTCCAGAGCCGGGCGGGAGGGGGTCCCTGAGG